CACCATTACAAGTGTTTGCTAAACTGTTTAGCAAAGATGGAGATTTAACAATGCATGACAAAGCAACATACCACAAGAAAGCTGTTGAAGCAGGGAGGTGTTTTTTAAAAAACTATAATGAACCAGCAATAAATATTGTAAACAGAGTAAATGCTCAACGGCTTCAGCAGGTTTTAGAGAATCGTCAGAGATTGATACCTATTGTGGAAACAATTATACTTTTAGGAAGGCAGAATATTCCATTCAGAGGACACAGAGATGATGGCAGTATATTAGACAAAGATGATGAAGATTCTGATGTGATTAAAAATGAAGGTAATTTCCGAGAATTGCTAAAATTTAGAGTAAGCAGTGGAGATTCAAATTTAGAAAATCATTTAAAAACGGCAAGAGCATCAGCAACCTATATTAGCAAAACCACACAAAATGCGTTAATTAAATGCTGTGGGGAGGAAATATGTGAACAAATTTTGAGTCGCGTTAGAGAATCAAAGTATTATGCTATTATGATTGACGAAACAACCGATGCATCACATAAGTCGCAAATGACTATAATATTACGTTACTTGCTGCCTGATGGATCAGTTCGAGAAGATTTTGCAGGATTTGTTGATCTACATGACATTTTTTGAACGCACCCAACATGGCGAATGCTCAAAATCTAATTTCTCCGATAAATTAATTAGTTAGCAATGAATTGCTTTTTTATCTGTTTAATAAAATTGATAAAATTGAGAAAGAATTGCTCATAAAGAAATGTGCTGATTTTTATCTTCCTGACTTCATTGGTGAGACTAAGGAACTGCTCTTAGACGATATGACAAGAGCAGGATTGTTGGATGTTCCCACCAAGAAAAAACCTAAAGCTCCTAAATTCATAAGTGATTTGGAGGAGATTAAATCCATTATGGCAAAAAAAGTCTCACATTTGTTGCCTACATACACAGCTGCAAGATTTAATTTTCCTCAAGAAGGTTTGAAGGAAAGCCAATGCTGCAGCACTAATTCTAAGGATTTGTTAGTTGTGAAAGAATTATATTCTCAAATACAGGTCTTAAATAATAAAATTACAACTCTTGAGAATGAATTTTCTAAACTCTCAAACTTAATTCTCAGTAATTCACAACTAAATACTGATAAATTGTCTATTAGGGACACTGCCCCGCCCAGTTTTCCATCAGTCAGGGAACCTATTAAAATACATGAAAATGTTGAAGCTAATGATTGGCAGATGAAATTAAGTCATAAATCAAAGCTTGCACTTCGAAATGGCGAGGGTTCATCCCCCACATTTTCACCTTCCTTGTTAAACTTTGCCCTTGCGGCAAAAAAAATTTGCACCCTCAAATTAAATATAATATAGGGCGTGCTGAAAATGATGAAATAAAAGCAGCCAAAGTGGATTTTACAAAAAAGGCAACTTTATACATATCCAATGTGGTTAGTTCTTGTGATGAGAACTTAATGTTGAGCTATCTCAAAAAGAGAAACATAAAAATTCTGGGTTTGTACTTGTTAAAACTTAAAACTCAAAGGGCTTTTAACTCTTTCAAACTCATTGTTGAAAGTGATGATTTTGAAATTGTCAACGACACCTCTTTTTGGCCAAAGGGCATTATTCATAGACACTGGGTCAATTTTAAGGATATGGCTCAAGAGCAGGTTAACAGTGTTCGTGAGCCTTCACAAAATAAAACTTCTCTTCCTACAATTGTTGATGCTAATAGAATGCAACCAAAGGTAATACCTAATGATTCTCTAGAAATTAAAGAACAAAATGTTCTGTCCTCTGATTGGGCTCAGGAAGTGGAAAATTCAAAACTAAAAGATGGCGATGCCACAAACCAATAATTCATCTTATACTAAGATGTTTAATTCTGCCTCAACCAGTTGTGATTTTTTGTTTGATTATTTAAACAAATTTTTTGATTGTGATAATGCACAATTATTACAAATATTTAATAAATATATTGATTCTTTGCATGTTAGCACATCCATCCTTCCAGTTAATCTGAATGCTCACATATCCAAGTCCTTACCTTCAGATGGTAACATCTTGAATTTATTATGTTTCAATTGTCAAAGCTTGTTAAACAAATTAGACTGTTTTGAAGAGTTTATTGAAACTTGTAATATTAAATATGATGTAATCTCTCTCACTGAAACTTGGTTAAATTCATGTAATTCTCAATAGGCCTCAATTAATAATTATGATATTATATTATTGAATAGAGAAATAAAGCAAGGTGGTGGTTTGGCTTTTTGTATTCACAAAGATCTCAACTACATTCACAGGTTTGACTTACAAATTAATAAAGATATACAAATTGATGCTATTGAGATAAAGTCATATAGAAAAAATTATTTAATAATAAATGTCTACAGACCCCCAAACATTCATGTTGATATTCTATTTGGTGGGTTGAATTCCATTCTTGACATTGCAATATCTGAAAATAAACATATTTACATCATGGGCGATTTTAATATTGATCTCAAAACTTCTTCTCCTAATGCAATCAAATTTTTAGATGTACTTTCTTCCTTTTCTATTTTCCCAACTAATAATCTTCCTTCCAGAATCTCAGAATCTTCCCATTCCATTATCGATAATATTTTTACTTACCAGCTAAACTCATTTTGCAGTGGCACGATTATAACCGATATATCGGATCACTATCCGATATTTCTTTCGCAAGTGGTATCAAAAAAATTTGTCAATTCCAACCAGTATATAACTTTTCAAAATTCTTCAAAAAAAATCTTCATAGATTAAATAATGCTCTAATTCAATATAATTGGAATTACATTTCCTCAATGCATGCTTGCAATGAGGCTTTTGAAATTTTTTTGAATGTTCTGAAATATCACATCAATATCTTTTGTCCTATAACTCAGAAAAAATGTAAAAAATTCAAGATGTCCCAACCCTGGGTTACACCTGCTATCAAGGCTCAAATCATTAAAAAGAATGTACTATTTAAAAAATATAAAAAAAATCATGATCCTAAGTTTTATGAAAAATATAAAAAGATGAGAAATATGGTAAATAACAACATCAAATTTAACAAAAAAAAAATACTATGAAAACCTTTTCAAATCACATATTGGTGATACTAAGACCACTTGGAAAATTATCAAATCACTGATAAACAAACAAAAAGGTAAACTTCACTATCCTATCCTTGTAAATAATAAAATCATGGACAATCCCAAACAGATTGCAAACTGCTTTAATGATTATTTTTCCAATCTAGCTTCCATGATCACTCATGATAATGCAGTGAATTCGACATATATATCCCATATCAACTCCCTTTTTGTTTTAGATCCCACAAACCCAAAGGAAATAATTCATCATTGTAAGTCC